GATATTTCTAGAATGTAAAGATCTCAATAAATCTTGGAGAACCAGGAATATCTCCCTACCTCTGGAGCTTGAAAGAGATATATTAATAAACCAATACAAGAAAACACTATTTTAACATTACAATGCCCATTCGTGGGTGATATTCTTAGATGAAATATTAGACATCAGGAGTCTCAAGACTATAAAAGGCCACACTTGGCATCAGATTAATTTTAAAAACGATATAAAGATAGGAAAAGTAGCATGCCAAGAGCAAAACCCCACAGGCTTTTGTTTTCCTTGGGAATCCTTATGGTAGTTTCTGGGCTAGTCTTTGACCCTTCAAATGACAGCTCAGATGCAAGAGAATGAGACTACTGTAGGCAGATGCAGTAGCCACCCTACCTTAGAACCATGTCCCAAATAGAAACCAATATCCTTGTGACAGTCTCAGCTTCTAGGTCTTTGTAAAGGATGTGCCCAGTTATAAAAGTTCTCTCATTCAGAGAAGCCCAAAGCAATGGCTTCTCATCAAGTATTTGTAGTTCATTCATAGTCCTCCAAGTAATGACTCAGCTTACCAATCAAATGTCATTTTATCACATTATCATTTTATCACAGCAGTGTTGCTTGGTAACACAACTGACATTCTACCTCCATTAGATTTCCAGAGAACTGAGCTAAAAGCATCTTAACCCAAGGCCAATTTCTCATGTAAAAGGGGAAAAAGTTTTGTGAAACCTTTACCCACAAGCATAATGAGTCTTAAACTCAGTATTTTACCTCCAAAAATACTACTGGCAAGAAACAGAAATGAATTTGGACAAATTCATGAATGACATGGTTAGAAGAAGCTTTTCAGAAGTAAGTAAATAGCTGCCTATAAATTTGCCTTCACAGAGAGAACAATTTCTACTGGATGTTATAATCCTTAAGACTGCTTGCAGGAATAACTGTTAAGAGGAATGGATATAATTAAAAAAAAAAAAAAAAAAAAGAGGAATGGATAAAGGCTCTGCTTGAGTTCCGGATAGTTTCTTTAAGAGCTGAGATGACAGCAGGGACGTCATTCTCCCATGAGATACCCTCCAGCCCCCATAGACTCTTTACTTTCCTTAATAACTGGTACTTTTGCATTCTCATCTTCTATTAAAGCATAAAACTAACACAAATTCTTAAGACTATAAACCACAATTTACCATGTTGTCAAAAATAGTCTATCCCATAAAAGAAGACGGAGTTAACTTGTGATGGGTGTTCCTTAGGCAATACTTTGTTTCATAATCTTATTAACACTGACACTTTTCAATTTTAAAGAGATCTTATCAACACCAACACTTCTTAATTAAAACTCAGAATTAACAAGAAGGACATGGGGCCAGAGATGAAATATTCGAGAAGTTGCCTAAGGATGCTCTCACACACATCCTAAATATCAGTGAATCTACATGGGGTTAGTATACTGGTTCATAAAGATTTCCCTTAAAATGTCAAAGTTTGATTCTTAAAATAAACATCCTTGTGTGAAATGGTGTTTCTGCTTTACCTTGATTGCACGGATGGCAACTATACCCAAATTCCCCAATTCTGTTAATGATACCTAAATGATGTTGATATAAGCTTAGGAAAATGACAAGAGTGTGCATGGCAAAATATTTTGCTATAGCTGCAACCGTTAGGTATATAATTGAAGCAGCTTAAGGAAAGCCAATGAAATTAAGCTGACAGAAGAGTTTTAATATTGATTTCCATTTACCAGCAATCATGAAAAAGCTGTGAAAATCAATGAATGGATTTGCAATAGTATACTCAACTGTAGGTTAAACTCACATTTAATTGTGTAGATTCCAGAGTATCCAGCAGTTAATACATCCTATGTGTTAAGAGTCTGGAATGGGAGGCTAGCTATGGCCCAAACCTGATTTCAACCAAGTACCTAACAACTACACAAAACTCTACTAAGACAAGCAAAAGATTAACCTGCTTCGGCAAACTGGCTTATGAGAATGGATAGAGACATTCTTAAATGTCTGAAATTTGACCAGAATCTATGTGTTGCTGCCACCCTGAAAGCAAAAAGAAGGTTTTTGTTTAGAAGCCACTCTCTACCTTCTCTCTCCATCCCCAAAGTAGTTCAGCCTCTATCTTTGCTTTCAAAACTCTGACAGACAGGCTTCTACACTCCAGGCAGGGGCCTAAAGAATTCTTATCTAAGGACATGGACTAGCCCCCAAAACAAGATTTAATGATACTGATATAAAGGGGTTCCAAGGAAAAGACCACCTAATTAAGAAGAATTTCACAGACCAAAAGTGGCAGGGAAGAAATAATTTAAAAGACTATTTGGCTGGGTGCAACGGCTCACGCCTGCAATTCCAACACTTTGGGAGGCTGAGTGGGGAGCATCACTTGACCTGGGGGTTTGAGACCAGCCTGGGCAACAGAGCAAGGTCTTGCCTTTACACACACACACACCTGCGTGTGGTGATGCATGCCTGTATCCCAGCCAGTTGGGAGGCTGAGCTGGGAGGATTGCTTGAGCCTGTGAGTCAGAGGTTGCAATGAGCCATGAGCATGCCACTGTACTGTAGCATGGGCAACAGAGTGAGGCTCTGTCTCAAAAACAACAACAGAAAGAATATTTGATAGCATTGAACATCAGTCTCTAGACTAAAAAGGCTCTCCAAGTATCCACTACAATTACCCAATGCACAGGAAATCATGACGTTCCAGAACACAAGGATAAAGAGATCAGAAAAGCTTCCATAAAGACCAGGTCATATATAAAGGGAGAAGAAAGATGTTTCAGACATGATAAATTTAAAAATAAAAAAATCTATCTCATATACACCATTTTCCCAGAAAGCTACTATAGTATATGTTCCATCAACGCAAAGTAGTAAACAAAGAAAGACAAAGACACAGGAGCCAGGCTTAACCAAAGGAGAGCACTGAAGGCAATTCCCAAGAATACACTGTAGCTGTGCAGAACCAGTGCACAATGGGTGTGGCAGGTAGCAGGTCTCCACAGAAAGAGTAGATTTGAGAATGTTACCTGATCTGTTTGACTATTTGCAGAGGAGTTTTAGAGTTCGGTTAAAAAGTTTGTAGCTGTGTTAGAGATTGGATATTTGCAACATATAACCAAGAAAAGTTTAGAATCTAGAACACAAGAATAATAAAATATTTATTGGTAAGAAAAAGATAAATAACTCAATAGAAAAACTAACAAGATTTGAACAGGCAGTCTCAAAAGAGGAACTCTAAATGGCTAATAAACATATGAAATATGCTTATCCTTATTAGCAATCAAGGAATTACAAATTAAAAGTATAATAAGATGCCATTACAAAACTGACAAAACTATCAAAACAATTTTTTATGAGTATGTAAAGCAACAGGAATTCTCATACAGCAGTGACTAAAGTGTAAAATGGTAGCACCCCAGGGAAAATGGTTTGGCATGATACACAACACCCAGCAATTCCACTATTGGGTAAACACCCCAGAGAAAGGTATGTACATGTGCTTACTTACTATTGAAATTATATATTTATGTTTGTTTCATAACTTAATTATTGAATGTCTTCCTAAATATAAGTAACACAAGGACAGCGATGGTGGCTCTTCAGTTTACTTGAACCTAGCACTGTGAATTATATTAGTTATTCAAAAAATATCTATGGAACCAAATTGAATCAGAAAACACTAATATGGCAGTAGAAAACTTAGCAAAAAACATTTTTAAAAAGGACAGGAAGCAAACATTCACAGACGTGTAAAAAATGTTAAACCACGTTAGTAATTAAGGAAATTAAAATATGAAAAAATACCATTTTTGCCATAAAAAGACATTAAAATAATTACAATGCTCAAAGCTACAAAAGTACAGTGACATAGATCCTCTCATAGGTCACTTGTGGAAGTATAAGATGATATACAGGTGCATAAATTATTATTATTTTTTGAGACAGAGTCTCACTCTGTTGCCCAGGCTGGAGTGCAGTGGCACGATCTCGACTCACGGCAAGCTCCGCCTCCCGGGTTCATGCCATTCTTGTGCCTCAGCCTCCTGAGTAGTTGGGACTACAGGCGACCACCACCACGCCTGGCTAATTTTTTGTATTTTTAGCAGAGGTGGGGTTTCACCATGTTAGCCAGGATGGTCTCGATCTCCTGACCTCGTGATCCGCCCATCTTGGCCTTCCAAA